TGTATTTAATTTATTCATAATATGTCTTAGAGTTGTTAGTATTTTAAAGGTGTTTTTCTAATTTTTTTTTTTTTTTAATTTTATTTTGTATGTATTTAGGTGCTCCCAGAAGTCCTTACGGTCTTATCATAGAGCACCGCGGGAGAGCATTTTAACGAGAGGTTCACGCCTCCTTCCGTACCAATGACGCTTGTTGGGCTGGAGCTGACGTCGATCCCCGGACCTCTTGGTTCTGAGCCAGAACTCTAACCACTGCGCCACGGCTGCTCAATCTTTCCTCATCTTTCTTTTTCTAATTGCCACTCAAAGATTGTTTGATTTTCTGATTTTTGCATTTACTAAACGGCAGTATACTGCCGTTTAGTAAATTAAAATTTTAATTTCATTAAAATAATAAAAAAAAGTTTATTTTAAGCAATAACGTTCGATATGTTTAAAAAATTTTAAAAAAACAAAAAACTATATTCCTTAAACCAATAACTTAACTTTAAATTGGTCTTCTTATAAAAGCAAAAAAAGTTGTCGATTTTGAACTAAAAAATATATCATAAAGAATACATGGTCGCAGTTGGTTTTTTTTTTTTTTTTTGAATATTTACGTAAATATTCAAAAAAAAAAAAAAAAAACAACTGCGACCATGTACCATGTAGGTATTCTTTATGATATATTTTTTAGTTCAAAATCGACAACTTTTTTTGCTTTTATAAGAAGACCAATTTAAAGTTAAGTTATTGGTTTAAGGAATATAGTTTTTTCTTTTTTTAAAATTTTTTAAACATATCGAACGTTATTGCTTAAAATAAACTTTTTTTTATTATTTTAATGTTTTCTAAAAAGGAAAAAAAAGAAAATCATTTTGCTATAAATACGTAAAAATCAAATATTCAAGTATTCGATTCCAACCAAATGCCGCTCTCTTGAAATTGGAATTAATGATATTTAGGAAGTATAACGGTTGTTTCATACTATTAAATAAAATTAGCTGTGACTAGCTATAACTTAGACTTAAAATCGGTTTTGAAATTTCAAGATTTATGACTAATTTAATTCTTACTTTACAATGCATTGTGAAGTGAAAAAATTTATTTGTCCAGAGATTTGAGTTTATATGATATGGAAGACTAATTAGTTTATAATTGCAGCGATTTAATTAAAATCTTGTAACGTTAAAAACTTTAAAAAGCCTCAAGCATAAAAAGTTAGCATAGACACTGTAAGAAAAGTGAAGTTAGGCACTTGCATATACGGTAAGGGTTAAAAAAAAAATTAAACTATTAGTCATTAATATCCTTCATATAAACTTCTAGTGAATTACACTAACTATATTTAATATTGCTAATATAAAATAATCATTTAAAACTTAGAATTTATTTTTTATAACTCAAGGTTAAACTTTATTTATATTTTACAAATTAGTGCACATAATAATTTTGTATAAATCAAATGGTAAAAATAATGTAAATAAAATCTTAGTCAGTGCATTCAAAGTCAGCATAGTAATAAAATGGCAAATCAGTGTTTTCATTTTCAGATGATTCAATAATATCATTGGGCTCATTTAAATTTCTTATTTCATTTATGTTTATTGGTTTTAGTTCCTCATTTCTATTATCAAAATCATCATCCTCATCAACTCATTATATTCTTCATCCGCATAAATATCATCATTAACATTTGTATTTTCCTTTTTTATCATTTGTATTTTCCTTTTCAGTTTCTTAAAAAAGAAGATCAACTGCGTCTCCATCTAGATTGATTTTTTTTATATTTACATTTTGATCTTGCATAGTTTAGAGATGAAAGAATTGGGTCACTCGAAAACATTAAATAATTGAATTGGTCCGTCATTGTAACTTTTCGATCAAATTTACGAGTGTGTAGTAAATGAATATTTTTATTATCTTTATTCCGAGCTTCAATTGCTTCTTCAGAGTACATTCCAATTGGAAGCATAAGTCTAGATATTGTCAGACTACTATGAATGAGTAGTTTGTGTACTGAGAGTGGCATGTAAAACCATGAGTACTCTCGAACAAAAATATTTGCTGTTTCCAAACAATATGTTTCATATTTGGCTTTGTTAATTTTTTTATTTAAATTAATGACAAATAGAATAATGTATAGCCTGTAGATTAAATCTTTCTTGACACCTGTTATTCGCGAAAACTCAACTTGCTGACGAAAAGCACGACAAGCAGTGTTGCCATTATTTGATGTCCCAGGTCCGCCTTGAAGAGGCATGTCAACAATAAGGCCAATTTTTGCAAACTCATGCTGAACAAATTTTTTTTTACAGCTGCTAATTTTATTTTTTCAGGTCCACGTATTTGTCATTCTTTAATATCAAGTCTATAACTTATATGTAGAATACACTCAAAACATCGAATCCATGCATGTAATGAAGATAACCCAAGCTCTAAGCTTTGCGTATCTGTTGTTCATTGATCTAGGAATACTTTTTCAAGTATTACAAGTTTGAGCCAATTTATTGTCACAAATTGCATCTACTGCTTTTCCATCAATCATTGTAAGCTTAAGATTGAAGCTTACTTGAAATCCTCTATGTGGATTAGATAGTCAGAAAATTTTTATATGGTGCGCAAACTATTAAAACAGTATCGTGAATTGTGGATATTGAAGCAGTTAGAGAAAGACAATATGAATTTACAAGATTGTAGGTCACATTGCTATGATAATGCTGCTGTTATGGCACAAGACTGGTGTTCAAAAAATCTTGAATAAAAACAACATGAAAATATTTGAGAATTGTGATAATAATTTGGTAGGCGTGCATGCATCCAAAGGCAGCCAAAGAAGAAGTAATGATGACAAACCTTTTCAATGCACTTTATGTTTTCTTCTCTTGTTTAACCCAACACTGGGAAAAACTCCAAGCTGTTATAACTATGGCTTTAAAATCTGACTCCGCTACCAGGTAGAGCGCAAAAACGGAATCGATAAAACCTGTCAACAAATATCACGAGGAAATAGTGGAATTTCTTTTAAACATAATGGAAGAAGAAAGCGCGACTAGTGAAAACTAAAAGCGACGCAAAGCAACTGCATAACCGAATAATAACATATGATTTGAAGACATTGCTAGAGTTTTGGAACAAGCTTCGAAAAGAGGTTGCAAGGTTCTAAAATGAACTTTCATGATACAGCTTTAGATTTAGAAGCTCGCCAAAATTATTTTCATGATGAAAGAGAAGTGCTAGTTAGCGACTCATTGAAAGAAAAAATTCGAATTTGCAATGAACGGGACATTGAAATTGAAAACATCTAGAGATGGTGGTTTATCAGCTAAAGAAGACATGGAAAGAGTTATAAAAGGAACTGTTGATCTATTCAAAGAATTAAAAAAAAAGACGCGTTTGTTTGCATGAAATTTATGAAAAATTCGGATTTCTTTTTAATATGTAAGTGTTTTAATGCCAAAACAAGTTACCTGAAAATGCTTTGTAAAAAATTTGGGGAAGTCTACAGATTTGATGTGGATGGGCATGAATTATATGAAAAAATATTGGACTCTAGAACGCTGCTAACAAGCTGAACAAAAATGTCAAGCCCAGAACAATTACTTCATTTTATAGTTTAGTATGGATATGACGTTTTTCCTAATATGCGCATAGCATTGCAAATATTCCTGATAAACGCAGTTTCTATTGCCAGTTACGAAAGATAATTTAGTAAAATATAGTTGATACTTTCATACTTGAGAGCCTCGATGGGACAAAGTTGATTATGTGATCTTGCTTTGCTAAGCATATAATGAGAAATGACTGAAGAAATTGACTTTGATAAAATAATTAAACAATTTGCGTCAGCTGAAGCAAGAAAAATAGATTTGTAATAAAAAATAATGCATTTGTGCTTTTTTGCATAATCATTCCTAGTTTTCCCCCCAATTTTGCTCAAATGACCAAAATTTTGCCCAATTTTTGCCCATTTTGCCCAATGGCTCACAAATTGCCCAGATTTTTTGTCTTTTTTTGCCAAATTATCATTTAGAAAACCAAAAAAAAAATTTATTGTCGCAAGGGTGCGCAAGATCAGTGTTTGCTATTGGCGCTATTTACCCTGGGTAATTTGTGGCAATTAAAGATGTATTTTGTTTTTTGCATTTGGTGCGTAGTTAGCCATGCTAAGTTCTTTTCAACTACCGTCAAGTCGAGTTTATTAAAGAATGTTATGTAGTTAGCTCGGTTCGCTAAGACTAGGAAGAACATATTGGACAATTTCAGTTCTTGGTTGCAATCGCTTTTATTTGGAAGTGTAATAACTATCGGCCCTGCTTAGTTGAGGCTAGCAGAATAATCACGAAGAGTAATCCGTAATACCTGATGAGGTTGAGTATTTTATTGATTTTAGTTTGATTGTGCAGCTTTTAGTCGTTCAGGTTAACTGAAGTAAATTTTCTTACTATCCGGATAACAATGTTCTTTGATCAGATTTCACATTCTTTAGGTTCTTTGACTATGGTAGCGATCATGTCAATTGGTTTTTTTTAAGGAGCTTTAGAGTTCTTGCAGACAATCTGGTTCCACATGGGAGTTGTTGATATTGTTTGTTTGTTATAACATACAAACAGGGGTAATACCATTATACATGACACTATATATAGCATTATACAACTATACACGGTACTATATATAGTGCCGTGTGTGCAATGATGGCTTTCAAGTTATATGCAATTATTGTGCTTTAGGCGTTTATGATAGAACTCATGTTTGCTAATTTGGTCATCTGGGTGTTTATTTTATTCCTGCAGTTAAAAAATATTTTAATGTTGTTTTTTCATAATGTCTTTGAGGGCGGCTACGAGTTTAATTTTGGTAATCTGTTTTCAGGGCCGACGACATGGTTTTCAAAGTGGAGGGGCACACACGTCAATTTTTAAAAAAAGTCCTCTATATCTAGAATTTTCTTTTAAAAAAAAAAGATCTTTAAAAAAAAAGTGGTGGTGGTGGTGGTGGGGGGCACGTGCCCATCCCCCCCCCCCTGTGTCGTTAGTTCTGGTTTTAAAAAATGCTATATGTAATATCTAATTTTTTTTTTTATATATATATTTGCCGTACATATAACATTTCCAAGTTTCGTAAATTAAAAGTTGTAATATTTACAAGTCTCGTGAGTCAAAATATATAGTGAAATTTACAATTAAATAGTACAGGCCGGACTTCAAGAAAATCGTAATGATCTTATCACGAAGCCCTTACAATGTGTTTGATATATATTATAATTATGTTAAATATAATTATACATTAAGTACAACTATATTTATATTTTCTTTAAATTAAGCTCATAATAAAAAATAAACTCAAAATAAGCTCAGTATAAAATATTAGACATAACAAGCAGCATAATAACTAAACTTGATAAGAAAAAATCGAGTGTTTTTTTTGTGTGTAATAAACAATTTTTGATATATTGTTTGAGAAGATTTTATAGAAGAAGAATTTAAAAGATAATTGTGAAGTAAAAAAAAATTATTAAATTTAAAATTTAGATTGGTGTCTTAGATGTACACAGATTTGTTAACAAGGCCAAAAGTAGCAAGGCCTAGGTCAAGGCCACATGTTACAAGGCCAAGGCCGAGACCAAGGCCGAGACCAAGGCCGAGACCAAGGCCAAAAGTTACAAGGCCAAGGCTAAGAGTTTTAAGATCAAGGCCAAGAATAAGAGTTTCAAGACCAAGGCCTACGCAAACATTTTCAAGACCAAAGGCCTAAATTTTTGCCTTACGTTAAGGCCAATTATTAACAAAACTGTAGGTAGTAAGTTCTGTGACAAAACCACGTGTTGTAAAAATAGATCAAGGTTATGCGCAGACTCAACGAAGTCAATAAGAATATATATATATATATATATATATATATATATATATATATATATATATATATATATATATATATATATATATATATATACATATATATATATATATATATATATATATATATATATATATATATATATAAATTTATATACATACATACATATATATATATATATATATATATATATATATATATATATATATATATATATATACATATATATATATATATATATATATATATATATATATATATATATATATATATATATATATATTTATATACATACATATATATATATATATATATATATATATATATATAATATATATATATATATATATATACATATATATATATATATATATATGAAAACCAAAAAAAAAAAAATGCATAAAAAATAAAAACTTTTCATTCTTTAATTTTATGTATTTTTTTTGAAGGCCAAGGCCAAACAATCAAGGCCAAGACTTTAATTTTTGACAAAAAAAAATTTTTTGATCGAAAAAAAAAAAAAAAAGATCCTCGTTTTCCGATATTTGCCGAATGCCAACTATAGATCCAATTTTGCCGACTCCAGTTCCAATTTGCCGACCGAAAAAATTCGTAGGGAGACTAGACACCCCCTACGCCCCTCTCGGGACGGCCCTGTATACTTTTTATTTATGCTACAAGTTGTAAAAAAGTATTGTAAAAGTATGTTGACCAAATGCAATTCTAAAAATATTTATTGAGAAAGCTACAAGCGACTATGGTAAACAAACAGATCTTTTATTGAACTGAAATTTTTTTACTAGAAGTTTTCTCTAAAAAAACGGTGTTAATACGAGTTCAAGTTGTATTAACACATAAAAAAATGAAGGAAGGCAAATCACAGAGGCTTATCACAGAGATATTTTTATTTAGTTAGAGTTTACTTTTCCTAGGGTGTGAGTATATTTCAAAATTTTGGACGCGTAAAAAACGGCGTAAACCGATGCAACGCGAATTTGGTTTTGTTGACTGGATTTTTAATCTTTCATTTTTGATCTTTCGAAATGACATTTCGAAACGATAAAGTGTTTGCGTATCTGCGTTTTAGAAATCTTGATAATCTGTTATTATAGTAATTAATCAGGATATGAAAGAAATTAAAGTATTAAACTATTTTTATTAACATAGTAATAAAACACTTTAAATACAAGTTATATTTAAGTTGTATTTATTACTGGCTATATTTTTCAGAATGTCTACTTTTAAATAAGCAAAATATTTTGTATACCTTTTAATTTACATATGTTTGTGCCAAATGTAATATATTGTCATATTTGCTATATTAATACAAATATAACTGAAAGTTCATATATTTACTGCATATATATGTAAAACGAAAGTAGACATTCTAAAAAATTACTTTTCTATAAGTCTTGAAATAAGCGTTAAATTATGGTTATTCAATGGATTTTAAATATTTGTGCCTGTTCAATTCACGAGCCTCCTCAGAACAATTAGTTACTATAAATATATATTTATAGTAACTATAAATATACATTTATTGTAACTAATTGCTCTGAGGAGGTTTACCTATAGAAAGTAAACCAAGAAGATGTGCATGTGCATTTGCATTTGTGAAAGAATTGCATTAATAAAATATATTTTTAAAAATGTATATAGTACAAATGTATATAGTATAGTAAAAATGTATATGTATATTGTGTATGTATATATATAAATATATTAATATGATGAAATAGTAATAAAAAAACAACACTAATTATTTGTTTTTTAAAGTTACTTAAACAGAATAGTTATATTTGCTTTTGCATATAATCTATTATAAGTATATTAATTATTAGTATTATTTTTATTAGAGTATTATGACCATCCAGTGTTTAAATGTGGAGTACACCATTTAATTAAAAATGAAATATATTGCAAACATGGCAGAAGGGAAAATAACATCTCGAAAACTATTATACATTATTGGATTAACATCAGTGTTTTGGTTTGCTATGAATGTTTTGTTGTTAATTGCAAACAATAAATACGCTTTAGATTCACTTGAAAAACTTGCTCTAACATCTAATGAAAAAGCTGACTCACATTATATGAGTCATGTTAATATACAACCATTAGCACCAGCATACAAACGAAGCTTTGATTTACCTTGGCTTAAAGATGAATTTTGGAATAAAAAAACTATTAGTTCTGAAATATCTGAGAGTGCAGTTTTATCTCAAGGTGCAGACCGACCTGTTTATGATATAAGTGCTAAAAAAAACATTAATCCAATGAAAGGTGAAGGAGGTGAGGCATCTTATCTGGATACTGAAGCAGAAAAACAATATGCAGAAAAGATATTTGCCAACCACTCATTCAATTCAGTTCTTAGTGATAAAATATCCTTGGATCGTACAATGAGAGATGTTCGTGGTGATCTGTAAGTTTGTATATGTATGTATATAAGTATGTGTGTATATATATATATATATATATATATATATATATATATATATATATATATATATATATATATATATATATACACAATCCTCTGAATTAGGGTCGGCAATATATACAATCCTCTGAATTAGGCCGACCTAACTGCCGATCTGAAAGTGCTTGAGGTCGGCAAAAAACTGCCGACCTCGTTTCTATGTTCTATGGTCAGACCTTTGTATCAAATAATTTTTGCCGAACTGATGCAGACCTCAAAAAGATTAAGTTCGGCAAATTATTGCCAACCTTATTTTTCCTAATTCCAAGGGTTGTATATATATATATATATATATGTATATATATATATATATATATATATATATATATATATATATAAATATATATATATATATATATATATATATATATATATATATATATATATGTATATATATATGTATATATATATATATATATTATATATAAATATATATATATATATATATATATATATATATATATATATATATATATATATATATATATATATATATATATATATATATATATATATATATATATATATATATTATTAAACCTCAATAAAAAAACAAAACAAGATATTTAAGAAGTTCTTTAAAACAAAAAATATACATGACAAACTAGTTCTTGAAAAAACTTACGAAGCCTATAGAAATTTTCTTGTGACACTTATTTGAAAAAGCAAAAAACTTTTCTAACTATTTTACTACTAGTAGCAATAGTTTAAGAATTATGTGGAATGTATATTTAAAAGAGTTATGTAGAACTCTTTTAAATATATCTTCGAATGATATCTCATACCCATCTTCAAACAATACAATACATGATCCAGTTAAAATCTCAGAAATTTTCAACTCAATTATTTCATTCCCTGAAGAACTACAAAAAAATATTTGCTCATCCCATATTGGCTTTCATGAGTATTTAAAAACATCAAACCCTGACTCTTTTCATTAAACCTACTGAGAAAAATGAAATAATATCAGTTATTCTTTCTCTATAGGCTTCTGGTCCAAACAGCATTACAACCTTTCTTCTAAAACTTCTTGCTTATATTTCTTCAAAATTTTCTAAACTATTTAATTTCTCATTCCCTACTGGTATATTCCCTAATATTTTAAAAACTGCATCTGTTAAACCAATCTATAATAACAACACAAAACTTGGCTGCAATAACTATAGACCAATATTAATTTTATCAAGTATCAGTAAAATTCTTGAAAAATTAATGTATTCTACATTTAAATAAACTTTTAAGTTCAAATAATTGACTATTTGTAATGACTTATTGAAAACTGTTTAAATTACTTTAATTATTAAGTATTTTAGTAGTTTTAATGTTAGTAAATTTTTAAATACTATTAAATGTTTAAATACTTTAAACAATTTGTAATTTATAATTACAAATAGCGTAATTTGCAAAATTAAAATAATAGTAATTACACTTACTTCTTGCTTGTCTATTATTTATCTTGTAGTCGAATAGGTTAATTCCATGTTAATTGACAATTATGATATAAAAAAGTTTTACATATCATTCTATATTCATTAATCTTTTAGAAAACATAAGCTCTCTATATATGGGAAACGGGCACAGAACCCACTTTTTTATAGCGGAATATTGAGATTGATTTTTCTCTACCTTTCAGACAAGCTGGAGCTTTTGGCATTTCTGAAGCGCTGATAGATGTGCATATTAAAGTTGTTTCCAGGGCCCTAGACACCAGTGAGAAGAAGAGATGGGTCATATGCCCTTCTTTTTTTAGTGGAATCTTGCAATAGATTTTTCACTACTTTCCAGACAAACTGGAGCTCTGAAAATTTCAGCATTTGTGCAGTCCTGATGAACATTTGTTAAATTTGTTTTAAGGGCAGACTACCAGAGGATCCATGGGGCCGGGGCACCAGGGGCCATGCCCCACTTATTTTCTCCAAAAAAAAATTTTTTTTTTCTGATTTTAACAAAGTAAAGATAACTTTAAAAATATTGTTTTCAAAATTTTTTTTGGTTTGTTCTGTTTTATTTAATTATTTACAAAATAAAGTACAAAAAAATAAAGTTTCATTTGTTGTTACAGGTGCATCAATGATACAAATTATGTTGGTAATTAAAACTCAACACCTATCCACCCTAGATAAACTGAAAAATTTGTTAAAAAGGCAGCGCAGGTTCATAAACATTGCCATAACAATACATGACAACTTTTAAATATAGATGACAAATTTTATCTTCCATCTTCATTAAAACATTTCAGTGCAATAAATTTTATTTATCATACCAATCCAATAAAATGCATCAACACAGTATTTAAACAGAAGAAACTAACCAAATTTCAATGTATAAATGTTAATTTACTGATTAGTTTGAGAATTTTAAATACCATAAAACGAAAAAAAATGCCTGTTATATTAACATTTTTATTTGTTCGTTTAAAGCTAATAGCATCTATAGATTCTGGGTTAAATTCATGGTAGCTCCTAATTTCAGGAATTGTTCTACTTTTTAAATCTTTTCATGATGGTGGCAGGTTGTTAAAATTTTGTCATTGGTTATTCCAGATCTCTTAATTAATTGCATCTTTTCTTTAACAATCTTTTTAATCAGTCTTTCTACAATAAATTAGTTTATGACAAATATTATTTGGCAGTTTACTAAAATCATATGAATCCATTATTATTGTAAAACTAACTACTAAATAATAATTTTTTCTCTCTTTAACAAGGTTAAATATTGTAATAAATTTGTTTTTTGTTTGTTTAAGAAAAGTGGGGTATGACCCCTATTGCCCCGACCTCATTGAGCATCTGGTTGTCTGCCCTGGAAATTATTTTAACACACGCTTATTAAAACTACACAAATGCTGTAAATTTCAGAGCTTCAGTTTGTCTGTAAAGTAGTGAAAAATCTATCGCAAAATTCTGCTGCAAAAAAGTAGGGCAAATGACCCTCCTCCCTTGTCTTGGGCGCTGGAAACAACTTTAACGTTTATCTGCACTACAGCAATGCCAAAAGTTACAAATTTTCAGCTAGTCTAAAAATTTAAAAAAATCAATTGCAATATTCACTTTAAAAAAGTGAGGTCCGTGCTCCATTATAATATATATGGAAATCCATTTACCTGCAGATCAAAATAATGAATTATCAATGAATATAGAATGATGTGTTACGTTTTTTTTTTTTTTTTTTTAATATTATCAAGGCTACATGGGTTTCTTGAGCATCAAAATTATGTATATAAAAAATTACCCAAATTTATTTAAATTGATAAATACAGGTACTTAATTGTAATTTTCTACATCTCCCATCATTTCACTGGATTTGTCACCCTTAAAAATAGCCAGGTACAAATTTTTAAGTAAAAAGATCAAAAGTTATATGACTTAAAACCTCCAAATAAATGTTACAATTTTGAAGGGACTAGAGTGACTTTTAAAGGATTTCTTATTTTACTAAGTACCTAACTGTATAAAAATCAGCAAAATCTGTGATATAGGTCGACATTTTTAAGAATTTCTAGCTCATTTGACATGGAATTACCCAATAGTTATTTTCTAATATGATATATTATGACAATAACTATTCAAATAATAACATAAGCGTTTAGTAAGCATATTGACTATAATTTTAATTTTCATTTCGATTTAAATATTAGCAATTCTGTTCATTTAACTTTTACTAAAAGTTATTTTTCACAGTACTTTTAGGTTTCTTTTAAATAAAATAGATAATTACTGTTAACTTAATGATTAAAAAAATATATATAATCAAAAAATGTGTGTACATTAAGTAAATTACATTTACTAAAGATTTTTTTTAAAAAAATATTGAAGTTTAAAAATAAGTAAAACAAAAAACCTTATAAAAATCAAAGTTATTTGTTTCTTCTTATTATTATTAAAGTCAAAAAGAATATGAAGTGAAACAAGATTTTCTGATAAAATTTTTGTTTTGTTTATTGGTTTTCCTAAAGTAAAATGAAATTGTGAGCTAAAGATTAAAAAATTCATTCATAAAAAATTTCTATATTGTTATTAAGAAATTTATAATTTTGTTCATTTATTATTAAAAACAGTTAACTTTTAATTTCTAACAAGCTTAAGTTAACTTTACTCTAAATAAATATTTTAAAATCACTTTATATTTTGGAAAAACAAATTTTTATACTTTGGATTGTCTTTAAATTAAGTTTTATAAAAAATTTTAATTCATTTCTTTAAAATCTAATATACTACTAGTAATTAAATGACAGTTTTAAACACTAAACAAACTCATTTTAATGTCTAGAAGAAAAAGCAAACTTGGTATGATAAAGAGAAATTTAGTTATTTACTACAGCATTTGAAACCAAAAACTTTTTTTCAAATTTTTATTAATAAATAGTAAACAATAAGTATTTTTGTGCGCATTTTTTTGGGCATCAATACTGCTCTAGCAGTACCAAAATAGGTCTGAGTTTGTCTCTAATTACTAGTTGTACCTAATTTTTAGGGCATTTTTGTTTCCGCTCTAATCAGCGTAATTTATGTCAAAATCTTTTTATATAAAACAATTATAAACATACAAAAGTTTGGGGTTTAGAACAAAATTGAAAGTAACTTAACTCAAATATCAAAAAATCATAGATCTGCTTCTAATTTAGGACCTTTTAATTGTTCAAGGGTCCTTGGGAACCCATAATAAAGTTTTTTATTTAAAAATTTTAGTAAAAATAAATCATAAAACCGGAAAAAAAATACATTCAACTAAACTAAAAGAAATAAAAATCTTTACAAATGATTAAATAAGTAAAAGATAAACCAGAAAAAATAAAAACATAAAATTAATGTCTTTATTTTAACTTGAAATGTTTCACTTCATAGAATTTGGAAGTGATCAAAGTTTGCAAGCTTAATTGCTTTAAAATTTGTTTAAAAATTTTAAACATTTTAATATTTTCTACTAAGAAAATTAAAGATGAAAAAATTTTTCCATTATTAGGATTTGAACCCTCATCTTACGTCGAACTAACAATCATGCCCTATAAAAATTGTTCAACCTAAGTGCAATACTAATTGTGTTATTATCCGTGATTTTGTATAATAATAGTAATAATAATAATAATAATAGCAATAATAATAATAATAATAATAATAATAGCAATAATAGCAATAATAATAATAGTAATAATAATAATAATATCTCCTTATGTATTGTATAATTAAATAATTTTTCTTATATTGTCTGGATTTGATTTTTTTTAAAAAATAGTTTCTTTTGTTTATTAAGATTCTTTCTTATTTTTAGTTGTATAGAAAAACACAAAACTTATCCTCGCAAACTTCCAACAGCAAGTGTCATTATTTGTTTTCATAATGAAGCTTATAGTGTTTTATTGCGTACTGTTCATAGTGTTTTAAATCGTACCCCACCTGATCTTTTAACTGATATAATTTTGGTTGATGATAAAAGCGAATATGGTATTTATTGATATTTTATTTACTTGTAATATATTTATATAATTATATTTATTTAAAAATGATGATGATGGTGATGATAATGATGATGGGACGATGATGACACATGTGTATACTTCATATACGTGTATATACCATGAAGTATATACATATACTTTATAGTATACATATGATATTCTTGTATATACCATGAAGTATATTTCATGGATGCAGTGTGATTTTAGCATTTTTAGATTTGTTTTTTTTTATCATTTTTTTAACTATATATATATATATATATATATATATATATATATATATATATATATATATATATATATATATATATATATATATATATATATATATATATATATATATATATATATATATATATATATATATATATATATATATATATATATATGTATATATATATATATAGTCTTTGCTTAGAAAGACATGGAATAGGTTGCACTGGTTTACATTTTACCATATATAACCTATTCCATTGAATTTTAAACCTTTTTATATTACACAAAACATTATTAAATATTTTTTATTTAAAAAAAGATTTTTAATTCTAGCAATTGGCTAACAATAAACATATTTATTTAATAGTGTTTTTTTTTCTCGGTGCAAACGCCATTAAAATCTCTTTATAATGAATTGATTGTGATTTATCATGGTGGGGATGATAATGGTTGATGATGAAGATTAATGAAATCTGTTTTTGGATAAGTTTTTGCTGGTTAAACTATTAAATGTGGATGAAGTCAAATTGTATTCTAATCTTGTTGTTAAGTCAATGTTTATTAACTGCTTTGTTAATTTTTATTAGCCAGATTAATTTTCTCAATTAGCCTGCTTTGTTTACTAATTTTCGTGCTGTTTTTCACATTGCAACTAAACATTGTCAAACTGGCAATGATGTTGTTTAGACATTGTATTGTAGCCACTGCATAGGTAATTTGTTGATGCTGCAAAATATTTTAGATTTAATTTAAATAATTTATAATAACATCTGTTTTATAGTTTTTATCTACTAAGTACTTAGTTTTTGTAATATTTTAATCTAGTCTACTCATAATTCTATTTAAAAACATTTTTAAAAGAAAGTATATCTCTTGATATATCAACTGTTGAACGTGCACACACTTAGAAAAGAAGAAGCATTACACATTAGAAAGATATTTGTCCTGTCAGAGTATTCAGTTCTTCACTGAATACTCTGAAAAATCTTGAAGTTGACTAGTCAAGTAGAAGAGCTTTTGCTTAATCCATCTTTATTGTCAGCCATTGGTCTTGAACTTAAAATTCAAGACCAATGGCTGAAAATAAAGAAGGATGTGTGCAATTTTGCCATAGATCAACTCTCAAACAAGGCAACGCAAGTAACTACCTTGAGCATTGCAAAGTGAGAGCAGTTTTACTTAGAAGAAAGCTATCAAATAGATTTGTTTTCTTCAAACCTGGTGCTTTCCACAAAATCTGCTGAATGGTCATGTTTCTATACAGCGCAAAGATATTTTTGAACATCAGTAAAACTACTCATTAGTTTTTCTGACAAACTTAAGAAATTTTTGCTTTTGTAATGGACTCTTGCAATCACCAGATAATTGAACCGAAGTTGAGGGGGGGGGGGGAGTAGCATGTGCCTTTAGAAAGTCAATACTTTTGTTCAAAGAGAATAATTTCAATGATCACAAACTATGCAAAAATTCTAACACAATGACAAGGAAAAACTGTAATGGATTTTGCAGCTTGTAGAACCACATCAAAATTAACTAGGTAATTTCAAGAAACAGTAGTTAAGTAATGAATTTTTTTTTTCTTTATTCTAAATTTTTACTTTGAGTTTTAATTGTTTCTACATAATGGAGAAAGTTTATGTTATGAGAAATGGTTTAAGTTTCTACATAATGGAGAAAGTTTATGTTATGAAAAATGGTTTAAGTTTCTACATAATGATCTGTTTAATAAAAGTTCTTTAGAATGGTATATTTGCATCAATATATTTATTTTCCTAGAATGAAATATTTTGTTTTAGTGATTTCAAACCTGTTAAATTTGTGTATAGTATAAGAAAACTTGTCTTAGAGGGGACAATAGAGTTGTGGTAGAAAAATAAAATTTCACTCTAGTCTTCATAAGGGTAATATCTATTAGAAAAGGTTTAGCCATCAAGATTCTGAACAATTTTATATTTTTTGAACAATAACAAATGAAAATGTTGCTGTCCCAGTCCAAACTCTTAGTTGATGTAGGGCACTCCTTTGCGGCAACAGGGTATAAAATAGTCGATGTATGAATACTCCCACCAAAACAAAATTTAAAAAAAATAAATAAATAAAAAAATATATAAAAAGAGTACGAAATAATCATTAGTTAAAAATAGTTTTTAGTCATACCTTTTAAGGCTTTTTAAAAAGCTATTAAACCTATTTCTGTACTTCTGCAACTATTTAGTTGTTTTAACATTAAGCACCATTAAAAGTTGCTTATATAATGTTAAATAATGAGCATTGAAAGAGACTTATCTAATTTTTTAACTTTATTTTAATCTCTTTTGCTAACCATGCAAAGAACTCTCTCTCTCTCTCTCTCTCTCTCTCTCTCTCTCTCTCTCTCTCTATAAATATATATATATATATATATATATATATATATATATATATATATATATATATATATATATATATATATATATATATATATATATATATATATATATATATAAAAAAACAGGTACAAGAAACAGGTTTGTAAAGAAAAAAGATTGGAACAGTATTGGCAATTTCCGAAAACTGCGTTACATCTAAGTTGAAAATACAAAACTTTTGTAGTGAAAACAAAGAAATAGTTATTGATTTTTCAAGATTTGTCAGAAATACAAAATTGGAGAAAAAATTAATTTACCACTAAATTAGAAGTTTCTTAGATGAAATTCAGTAGAGTCTTAGTAGATTAATCTGATTTGTGTTGTTATTGAAAATGTTGCAAATAATTTCCAGATTTTTAGAATTTTATTAAAAATACTAAAATGCCCAAAATGTTTTTAGGAAAATATTTTGATTCTATTGGTTATTTCATACCTATGTGATTGTTTATTTGCTTTTTTTTTTGTTTTGTTTTGTTTAGTGTAGTTTTAATTTTAAAATATTTGCTAAAAAGTTATTTTGTTCATTGTTACATCATTAAAGTAATTTCATTTTAATTTTAGAAAATTTAAAAAGACCTTTGGATGACCATGTTGCACAATTATCAAAAAAAATTAAGATTATTAGAAATGCCAAAAGGTCTGGCTTGATTCGATCTCGAATAAATGGTGCCGATTTGTCTCGTGGAGATGTTTTAATATTTCTAGACTCTCATTGTGAAACTACACCTGGATGGGCAGAGCCTCTATTAGCAAGAATAGCTGAAAAAAGGTTAAAATATTTCCAGGATTATAAATGTAAAAAATAAATTTGAAAACACAGTTTTAAAAAACTAACCATTTTTATGTTTAGTTCTAATGTTGTTGTTCCAATAATTGAAGTTATTAATGCAGATACTCTCCAATATGCTGCAGCAGCAAATCCTGACCAAAGAGGTGGCTTCAGTTGGGATTTGTTTTATAAATGGAAGCCTATTCCATTAGACGAACAGCATCTTCGTAAATCTCCTATAGATGTTATTAGGTAACATTTGGTAGCAGGTTAACACTGTTTTGTGTGTATATATATATATATATATATATATATATATATATATATATATATATATATATATATATATATATATATATATATATTTATATATTTTTATGTTTAATATCAATGGTTTCACACTGGCATGGTTTAGATAGGTTTCCATAATACTTCTTATTTAAACATGACATGAAGCTTTAAAGCAATTTTTTATGACTGGATACCCTTCCTGTTTTACATAAATCAAAGGAATATAAAAACGTACTGAAAAATGTTGTATAAAAAATTGGCATATGAATATTTTAATTAACTTTCATTCTACTTTCTATTCAACTCATCAGTTATTTAAAATTATTTAATCGATTTATATGTTAGTTTGACACTTTTCTGTATTTATTTCCTTTATTCCTATTTATTTCTTATATGTTTGCATTAAGTTGCATTAAGTTGCTTATAGCCGGTTTAGTCACACTTAATCCCTTTTTAAATATTTTGATAAGATCTAAAAGTTATTTTGAACTTAACAACACATTCTTTAAAAACTGTAAAAATGGTATTCAAATAAAATTAAAATGCATTTTACTGCATTTATGCACAATATTTATTTACTTACATTTTATGCAACTATTAAAAAATCATCAGTTTTTTAGTAGCTAAATAAAATTTAAGTATATAATATTGTGTATTTAATTTTATATAAATATGTAAATATTAAAGTATATAATTATAGTGTATATAATCTTATGAGCCAGAAGTTGGCTCATAAGATAAAAGTATTGTAAATAGTGTAGTCTTTAGGTTAGTCTTTTAGTTTACTCTTTAAAAAAGTTAAAGCTAGTAATTTTCAGTGATAAATGTAACGAGTGTTTTATCTTTGGATCTCAATGTTGATGGCTATTATCCTTTCATATGCAAAGACTCCAATAGTCACATGCTGGGCTTGGGTATATACTTAGGGTGACCATTGTTCCAGTTTTTACATAGGAGAGTGCAGCGTCAAACTAATTAAAATTAGTTTAACGCTTCACTCTCCTACGTAAAAACCGGGGTAATGGTCACCCTAGATATACTTAAATATCAAAACACAAATCTGGTGTGAAATCAGGTTTGAATCCTAACTATTTTTTATGTGCTTTCATTAAGCATCTCTTCATTCAATAATATTTCTCTTTGTTCTTTATTGTTCTTCTTTTTCTCTGCACTGAAGTAATGAATTTGGACTAAATAAAAATGGTTCATAGGTTATACTCTCTTTTTCAAAATTATTGTCATTCGTTTAATTTTATTTTATTTTTCCTCTATTTTATTGTCATCTCAAAATCAATGGACATGGACTGCACTTTTTTAGATGTAATTTTTGATCAAATTGACTGAGCTCTTTCTTATTATTCTCAACCCTATGCAAATAATGTTGTTATTGATAATTTTAATGCTTATCACACTAAATCACTTGGCTCTAGCACCGTTGACCCTGCTGGAGCTATAGGTACATAACTTCTCTATTTCTTAATTTCTTGCTTAGATTGTTATCTTTGTGACTAATAAAACCAAAAATAACAATTTATTCAAAATGAATATTAGTAATAAAACCAAAAATAACAATTTATTCAAAATGAATATTAGTAATAAAACCAAAAATAACAATTTATTCAAAATGAATATTATTTTTGAAATTTTTATACAATTTTGCTTCATTTGAGTACCAGGTTGATATATTTTTGAAAAACTTTTTTTTTGAAAATATTAGGGACCCATTAAATATTCAAGGGTCTTGAGGGACCCCTTAAAATATTATTTATTCAAAAAAATGTTAAACCTATACATGTATTTTTTTTTTATGTGTATGTGTGTAAAAATATTTTTATATATGTTAATATATAAACTCTAGAACTCCCACAATGGCAGGTGGATTATTTGCAATCGACAGAAAATACTTTTATGACATGGGGACATATGATGAAGAAATGGATATATGGGGTGGAGAAAACTTAGAAATGTCTTTTAGAGTGAGTAAATTTTAAAAACTAAGCAATTTTAATGTTTTTTGTTATAAATGTAAATTATTTTTTGTTTTGGATGATACTTGTTAAGTCTTATCGAGTCAAGTTAATTAATGTTTTGTTTTAATCATTAATATTTGTTTGTGTTATCCCAGCAAACATTCTATAAAAAATTTTGAGCAGCCTACCTAAGTTTTGCTCATTGAATACTTAATAAACTATCAGTGTATATATGTATGTATGTATGTATGTATGTATGTATGTATGTATGTATGTATGTATGTATGTATGTATGTATGTATGTATGTATGTATGTATGTATGTATGTATGTATGTGTGTATATGTTTGTAACATTTGTTATGCTGAAAGTATATTCAATCATAAAATATTTTATAATAGTATACAATATTAATTAACTAATTTTGTAGATATGGATGTGTGGTGGGCGTATTGACATTATTCCATGCTCACGAGTAGGACACATTTTTAGAAAGTTTACCAGTCCATACAAGTTTCCAGATGGAGTAGAAAAAACTCTTTCAAAAAATTTGAATCGGTTGGCAGAAGTTTGGTTAGATGAATATAAAGAACTTTATTATCAAAAAAGGCCGCAATCAAAGTAAAAACTTATGTCTATAAAAAATCCAATAAAAAATAATAGTTAAAAAAAAGGTTTTATATTTAAATTTTAGTTTAAAAAAAAATTTAAGGAGTTACTCCAAGCAAAAAATTTATAACGAAAATTATTGAGGAGGTATGGGTAAAATTCATAATATTTAATAATTTAAATTATTGATTTATATATCTAACATATCAAATGGTTGTTTCAAAGTTAAGATTTTTATATTAATTAATAGTTTAAAAAAATGTGCATTTGTCTCTAATTAGTTGAAATAAATGTACATGTGTCTCTAATTAGTTGAAAAAAATGTGGATGTGTCTCTAATTACTAAAAAAAATGTGCATGTGTCTCTAATTACTAAAAAAAATGTGCATGTGTCTCTAATTACTAAAAAAAAATGTGCATGTGTCTCTAATTAGTTGAAAAAAATGTGCATGTGTCTCTAATTACTAAAAAAAATGTGCATGTGTCTCTAATTACTAAAAAAAATGTGCATTTGTCTCTAATTACTAAAAAAAATGTGCATGTGTCTCTAATTAGTTGAAAAAAGTGTGCATGTGTCTCTAATTAGTTGAAAAAAATGTGCATGTCTCTAATTACTAAAAAAAAAGTGCATGTGTCTCTAATTAGTTGAAAAATATGTGCATGTCTCTAATTACTAAAAAAAAAGTGCATGTGTCTCTAATTAGTTGAAAAAAATGTGCATGTGTCTCTAATTACTAAAAAAAATGTGCATGTGTCTCTAATTACTAAAAAAAATGTGCATGTGTCTCTTATTACTAAAAAAAATGTGCATGTGTCTCTAATTACTAAAAAAAATGTGCATGTGTCTCTAATTACTAAAAAAAATGTGCATGTGTCTCTAATTACTAAAAAAAATGTGCATGTGTCTCTAATTACTAAAAAAAATGTTCATGTGTCTCTAATTTCTAAAAAAAATAAGCATGTGTCTCTAATTACTAAAAAAAATGTGCATGTGTCTCTAATTACTAAAAAAAATGTGCATGTGTCTCTAATTACTAAAAAAAATGTGCATGTGTTTTTAATTACTAAAAAAAATGTGCATGTGTCTCTAATTACTAAAAGAAATGTGCATCTTTTAAGATTTAATTGAATTATGATCATTTAAAATTAATATAGATGTTAAATTACTTAAGTCTCTTAACTCTTATTATCTCCCTGATATTGAAAGCAGAGTTAAATTTGATATTTTTTAGGGTTTCAAGGGTGTTATTTTAGCTTAACTATAGATACCAGTCAATTTTTCCTTTGTGTTTCTTATAAACTAAATTAATTGTTAAAGTATTTGAAGGAATTTTATAAAAATTAAATTTAAAGTTTAAATTTAGTTTTAAAGGAGAAATTAAATTTTTAGATTTAAAAGAGCATATAAATTAAAGAAAAATCATCTGTCAAGCTAAAGTATAAGTTTCAAGATTTTCTTTTAGAGGAAAGGATTATGGCGATATTAGTCAGAGGCTTGCATTGAGAAATAAATTAAACTGTAAATCATTCAAGTGGTATATTGAAAATATTTACCCTGATGTTCAACTTCCTGATCTTTATCCTCCAGCTAGAGGAGAGGTTAATTTTTTGTTTTATACATTTAGGGTAATATTTGTTTTGTTTTTAAAGTAAACAAAATGTAAAGGTTATATAAAAGTATGATGTTAAAATTGACATAAATTTAAGATATACATAAAATGAAATAAATGTAATGTAAAATTGATATAAATGTATATTATACATAAAATGAAATAAATGTAATCTAAAAAATTAAGACTAACATAAAAATGTAATGTTGTTTAAAATATCAAAGTTGTTTATGCAGTGAACTCCAGATATCTCCAACCCCAGGTAACTCGAACTTCCAGTAACTTAAAGTACTTTTAAGTTCCCTCTGAACTTAAAAGTACTTTAAGTCACTAATACTTTCTCATAAAAATCACTTGTTAACTTGTTAGCTTGAATATTCACTAAGTAAAACCATTTTATCTGTTCCCGTAGTTAATTTATCTCCGATAACTTGAAATTTAAAAAAAAAATTAAAATAAGATCTTATTAAAAGTTGTTATTTTTTTAAAATTAAAATAAACTTTTTTCCCTCAAGTGCAACCAAGCTTCCCATTAAAATTTGAAGAAATTTATTTAAACTGTGATGTGAACAATGTTAACAGTTTTGATATTAGAATATTTATGAAAAAATATATAATAAAAGTCATGTATTGTGTTTACATTTCAAGTGTCTGGTGGTTGGCTTGATCATTGAAAAAACAAATATGTTATTTTCAAGACAGTGTGTGGAGATGGTAATTCTTAAATAGTTGATATGACCATGTCATGGAAGGAAACAAACCTCCCTAAAATTTTATCCAGGTAAAAACTTGATGAAATTTATAATCCAGATGAATTTAGATTATTATTTTGTATCAAACCTAAAAAGTCACTAAATCTTCGATCTGAGGCTTTTGTATGGGAGAAGCACAGTAAAATTCGTATTACTGGGATGGCTGCAGCAAATGCAGTGGGTGATAAAATTGGTAAATCAAAATCACCTCGCTGCTTCAAAGGAGTTAAGCACTTACTTTGCAGATACAGAAATCAAAATAAAAGCTAGATGGATAGCGTATTGTTCCAAGAGTGGATACATAAAAATGCTTGATCATGGGTGGCAAAAAGTGAAAACCTCCACCATCGTTAATTGTTTTGCAAAATCAGGAATTTAATAAAAACTTAATTAGCCACAGTACTTTTACTAAAAGATAAACAGTTGATAGAAGAAGTAAAAAATACAACATATGAACATGATGCTGATGACCAGGAAAATGATGGTAATGCAATTGATCCAGTTTGCCCAAAAGTTACTGATATTTGAGAAGCACTGCAAGTTTGAAGATTTTCAACAAAAGATTAATGCAGTCTCAATTATATTTGATAGAGACGTTTCTTCAAAACTAAGACAGAGTGAGATTAGAACATCTTTTAATATGTAATGTATTGTTTTTCCCTTTGATATCAAAATTTTTAATAACTGGAATTGTTTTTACTTATCTGCAGAAGTTTGTATTATAGAATGTCTTGGTAATCCAAACATTCGCTAACTCAAACTATTTTCTTGGTTCTTTGGAGGTTCGAGATATCGGGAGTTTGCTATATAAATGTTTAAATTTAATATTTTTAATTAATTTTTTATTACAAATAAAACAATAATGAGGTTAAATTTATTCAATATTGAATTTTAGATAAAGAATCCTGCATCAAGTTACTGCTTAGACTCAATGGGTGACATGAAAGGAAACAATGTGAAAAAGTTGGGCATTTTTCCTTGTCATGGCCAGGGAGGAAATCAGGTTGTTTTTTATTAAAATATTTGCAGATTTTTTGATTTCTGTTAATTATAACACTAAACATTATTTCATGGATATTTTAGAATTTTGTGTTTTCGAGAAAAGGAGAGATTGTGTTTGATGAAGAGTATTGTCTTGATGTATCGAGCTCAAAACCTGGGGTATTAATTGATATAATGAAATGCCACAACTTTGGTGGAAATCAACAATGGATACATAAAATTAACACGGTAAATCTTGTAAATGAACATGTTTAAGCATAATATTTATAAGAGTAGATGCCAAGACCAAAAAATGGTTCATGGTAGGTCTATATTTGTGATTGTTTTGTTATACTTTTTAGTTAACATTATAAACAGGTAAGCCTTTATAACTTTAGTCATGAAGGCGACCTTATAAAAGTGTTATAACAGCAATCACCAAAAGAAAATAAACGGAACAGCTTGCCAATACCTAAAATTTTACATTCATAAGTGTTATTTTACATTTTGTTAATTCAAATAAAAATTACTTTTAATATTCTATTTGTGTTAGCAGCTCAACACTGGTTATTTAATGACTTCAATTTGTATTAGCAGTTTAACACTGATTGGTTTATGGAGTCATTAACAAACCAATTTTAAGCTTGTTAGTTAAAAATGCATAAAAATTTATTTATGTTTGATAACATATTTGATTTTGTATTGTTTTCTTTATGGTTTTTAATGTTTAATTTTGTAATGGTATTTATCATAGCATTATTTTGTATCAGATGATGGTCTGATCTTGGTCTGATCATGGTCAGATGATCTGATCATGGTCTGTGCTATTAAGTCAAGCAAATAAATTAAAATAAAAAATTATATGCTGTTGTTGTTAATGATTCACATGGTGTTTGGTTTATCACAATTTTAACATCTATTGTCTTTAGTAAAAGGTCAATAAAAAGTATGATATCAATTTAGTGTTCTGTCTTTTTGAAGAGCAAGCAATGAGTCAAGTAATGGCTGCCAAATAACTTTTTAATGTTTTTCATATGGTTACTTTTATAAGATAATTTCTGGTTACTTTCATAAGATAATTTCATTAACTTGTGAAAGTAACCAGGCTAATGAATTACCTGTAGCTATGGACCAGGTAGATGAATTACCAATCCATCAGAACAGGTGAGTTATTAGTAGCTCATTCTGAGCTGAGGAAATGAATGTAATATTGCTGAGCATTAGTTAGAAGTATTACTAAGCATTGTTTAGAAAGTTCTTGTAAAATTGCTTAGCAGAACAAATGTTTAGTTGAATTGCTAAGAAAAAAGAAAATTTCTAACTTAGTTGGCACTAAGGTATGCAAATCTAATACAAAAAGTAGCTGTATTGCATAAAAAAGCAGTATCAAGGATAAAATAAGTGAAAATTAGCTGAGATGAGAAAAAGAAACCTAAACCTCTGAAGAAAGGCAATGAAAATCATATAGAAATTAGATGTTCATCTGTTTTTACAAACAGCAAAAATCTTCTTTGTTAAATCAACTTTGTTATTTTTAGTTTATTGATTATTTTTAAAATTAGCTGTTAATACATCTTCAAAGCATTTTATTGAATGTGGTACAAGTTCTGTAGATACTGGTTTCAAATCAGCATCTATTTGTGGTATCATCCAGCAATTTGTTGCTTGCTAGGAATTGAACTATGTTGGTGAAGGTGTATATACTATCTATCAGGGATTATCTTTTTCCAAGCTGTCATGACCCGTAAAATATGGGTCATGTTAAATCTAATTTACACAAACCAATATCTATTCTTGTAATATATATACTATATTCTATACTTATTCCTTACTTCAATATGTTTTAGTAATCGGTAGAAAAATAATTATATGCATATATTAAAACTAAACTTATTGTTTACTTTTAAAAGCTTTAAAATGAATTTTCTATTATAATTAACTTATGAAAACTTTAAGGTAGATGTTGCATGAATTGCTATTTATCAAAGAATTGGATATCAGTAACAGTCTAAATAATATTTAGAATGCCTGGTTGAAATGTGTTAATTAATTACCATTGTTATAAAAAGTTTCAAAAAACATGACTTGAATATGTGGAATAACGAACTTACTATGACCCAATTATTATTACTGAATATTAATATTATTGGTCATGTTAAGTCTATTCCACACCTACCATTTTAATAATTTCGCTTTCAACAATATTTATAAAAGAGCAGAAAAAAGGGACCATATTATTTTTTTCCTTAATAAGTTTCTATTATTCTTTTTCAGACCATCTACAGCTCATTAGGCAGGGTTAAAAGCTTTAAATATCCTTAAAAAAATAAAATGTCCTTAAATGTCCTTAAATAACCTTTAAAAAAATTAAAATTTGACTGCTCTCCTTAATTTCTCCTTATCTTTTTTTTTTTTTAATCATCTAGGAAATTTTATTAAAGTGAATGGATTATACTTATTAATAAAGAAGAAAATATATAGTTATTTGATAGTTTGCAAACTTATACTTTTATTAAATATATATTTATATGTATAAAGTAATATATTAATTTATAATAATTTCTCTGTTTGTATTTAAAATTTATTGAAAAAACAAGATTCTGTTTTTAATGTTATCGTTTTCTCATTAATTCTCCTTGTAAAATTTTAAATCTCCTTAAAACCCTTACTTTTAGCTTCAGGTTTAATAGTGTTAGGACTCTTGCCCTGTTAATTTTAAAGAAAATTAAAGTTTTTAATTTTCTTTAAATTTTTTAATAAATTTTTTCGATAAGAAAGTTGTCTCTTCAAGCCCAAACCTTATGAGATGTGGGCCCTCTATTTGATCTGCAATAAGCTGAAAAAGCATGGTAAGATATGTCTAAAATAAATAAATAATAATAAATAAATGACATGATAAAAGAAGTAAAATAAAATAGTGCATAATATAATGATCTAATTATACTCTACTCTACTATTAGTCATATTCAAATTAGATGTTTTAACATAATTGAGCAATGTATAAAGATAACATTTCTGTCAAAAACTTAAACTAAATTATTATAATTATTTAATAAAAAAACAACAAAAAAAAACAATAAAAAGTAATTTTAAAAATTATAAATTTCTTACAGATAAAAACTTATACATAAAGCAAATCGAAAAAATCATAAGGCCTGTCTGCTCAGCAAGTACTGCTTGCATTAAATGGTGAAATGCAATACCCCATCATAAAGTCCCTTTAATATCTTGAAATGTATTTAATGCAAGATTTGCAATAAATAAGTAAATACAAAACCAATAATAGAAAACCTCTATAAACAATCATATATTTGCTTTAAGTAAAGAAACTTGAAAATATTGAAACTTCTTAAACTATTTTAATTGTTTTTTCATATATTTAATATTCTAAAGAAAAAAGGTCAATAATATAATGCAGAAAAATGTTTACATACATACATACATACATACATACATACATACATACATACATACATACATACATACATAAACACATACGTGTTTATGTATGTATGTATGTATGTATGTATGTATGTATGTATGTATGTATGTATGTATGTATGTATGTATGTATGTATGTATGTATGTATGTATGTATAGAGAATTTATGCCTTTTAAAGAATATATAACCGAGTGTATTTCTTTTAAAGAATTTTTTTTTTTAATTTAAAAACACAAATTGTTAACGAAAAAGAAACAGAGTATATATCTTTTTAACAAAATTTTCTTAAATAGTATCAGTATATAAATATTTAATGAAGTATATATCTTTTCAATAAAATTTACTTAGAATTATAAATATTAAAAAAATCACAGATATTAAAAACTATATATCTTTTCAACATTTCTTTTTAACACATTCTTTCAACAATATTTTTTTAACACATACTATGATTAGACTAACTACAAACAGATTTAATTTATGTGTTTCATCATGACAGAACACCACTTTACAAGCACTGACAACATTCTTGCTCTTAACATAACGAAGTCACATTATAGCAAAATACACCTTTTGGCTAGCAAGGTCAACAATCTTGCTGTCATAACAATTTGAAACCATACAAACAGCATAATAACCACTTACAAACTATAAACACATAATATTATAACACATCACAAACATAGAAACACTTCATATATAAAAGATATAAAAATAATACAATTTAAATCGCAATCTTGCCGGTCATTCAGCAAAGTTGTATTCTTTTTCTGTAACTTTTTCGCTATTATCTCAATACTTTTATTTATCTAGTTTTTTCCTCAAACATCAATGCATGTCTCGTATCTTTATGTTTTCCTGATTTATAATATACAGTTATTATTCTTCTGTTTTGAGCTTTCTTTCTCTATAACTTTTGTTGTCTGTTAACTCCCAACGTAATTATATATCGCTTGCAGCCATTTTCGGGATTGAATTTGTTTAGAAGAAAAAAAATATTTAATCATTTAATTGAAATTTTTGTGTTGATTTTTTTCTTTCATAATATTTGTTAGATTTTTTTTAAAGGGTGAAATTATGCATTATCCAACCCGACAGTGCATCGACCGTGGTTCTAATACTAATAAAAGTCCACAAATGCAACCATGTAATGGACAAACATCTCAAAAGTGGGTATTTTCTCACTATAACATGACTAGTTTTGCTTTAATCTCTAACAAATAAAAATGGTGGTGGTGGAAAAAAAGACGGAGATTGCCAATGTTTTCAAGCTTTGTTTTTTATTTATAAATGGTTTCACTATTTATCAGTGATCAAAGTATTTATCAGTATTTTTAAATAATTAGGGTGAATGTGTGCATTTTTTTAACACAACCAACCAATTTTTAAAGAATAAATTTTTTATCCGATTCTTTAACTAGCCGATATTTAAATTACATATTTTTTAAAAGAATCAATTTTATTAGATATTTGCTATTATTGTTTGAAAAAAACAACAACAAAATTTT